TTTCGGAATGTCCGGGTTTCCCGCATGTCTTGCATTTAGGTTTAATGGATGTTTTGAAGAGGAGGTTTTGTATCTTTTCTTCCTCTAATGCAATATTAATTGCACTATTTACGGTCTTAGGATTCCTACACCTAACGTTATTACTAAGCCGTGGATGTAGGCCTAAAATCTATATTATATAAAGCTCGATTACCACTCACTCACTCACTGACTCACTGATCAGGGGTATTTTTAGGGTATTTAGAGGGGAGAGGGGTAAAATTGTTAGTGTTTGTTTTAAACTAGATTTTTCGACTGCCAGCTTTATTAGATTTTTTGAACCAAAAAACAAAATGGCGGCATTTTTTGAGACAACAACTTTTTTGTTTTTCATCCTGAATTTTTTCCTTTTTGGGAGTTTATTTTGGTTGCCAAGATGTGTTAAAAATTTAGAGAAAAAATTGGAAAAACAAAATGGCCGCGCCGCCATCTTGGATTGAAAATGCGATTTCGGGGTGTTTTTAGGGAGGTGTCACTCCGAGATGCGCAATTGTTTTTGAAAATTTCTTTTGNGCATTCTGGCAATTGGTTAAGAAAGCCGTGAGTGTTGCACGGTCACCCTTGTATGGGCTAATGAAGTTGCACAGGACTTGGATAGGGAATGGTTCTAGGGATAGGGTTTCAGAACTTGAGTTCATTTTAGAATCTAGTCCTCTTTCGGTCATTTTATGAGTCAATAACTTCGTAAGAAGAATAAAATTGGTAAGTAAATTAAAATTATTGTGTAAAGAATAGAATGAGAGTAGATTTAGATAAAATGTAAGTACCAATGATAAATCGAATAAATTTCAAAGATAACGAGATAGCGATAACAGTTGATAAAACGTTTCACTTACAGAATCAGCAGGATCACGAGCGGAAGGTGCATCGTTGACACAGGAACTACGAGACGTACAGGAACGGCGTAGCGGGGACTCGGAGTGGCACGGCAGGGCAGCGGCACACGACGAGGGAGTGAAGATTGCAGCGATGGGTAGCTCGGCAGGCCCACAGGACTTGATGACGGGGCGATTGGCCGGCTGGACCACTGGATGCAGCAATTTCGGGAAGGACGTCGCTCTTTCTTAGCACGGTGATGGGTGGCCCACGCTCTTGGCGGGCGGTTAGACAGGGCGGCTTGGTGGCACGCCAATCGAAGATCGTCTTGGGCGGTTCGTCAGCAGGCTCCGACAGGAGGCTTACTGTCGTGACGATGTCTGAACCAAGACGGAATTTGTCGAAGCTGGATTGTTGTCGCTCCGGAGCTGGGTTGGCTGGAACTTGAAGTTTGATGCGCGACGCGTAACGGGATACCAGCGATATTAAAGTTTATTCACGTTTCGATGCTGGTATCCCACTTCTGACACCACTGTTACGGGGTGGGTCTAGAAGGTCTTTTTAAAAAAAAACTAAAGTTACTACACTTGAAAAATTTAATTAACTAAGAAAGTAAATGACAAAAATTCCCCGAATAAATGTTGCGCGCGCGACGGTCCAAACCCAACTAATTATCAAGTAAATTTTATTGGCAAGGAAACGTAGGGCTTCTATTGTATTGACGTCAATGCAATAGAAGCTCTGTGTCATCAATTTTTATTTTTATATTTAGTAATGTAAATTCCGATATAACAGTACGTAACGCATAGTATCTCTACAAGGAAATTGAATGCTTGGGATAAAGACCACGTTGTCTTGTTTGGCTTTCAGTAGTTTGGACTGTGGAGGATAATAATATGGCTGTCGATTTGCTGAAGTGGTTGGGAACTCACCTGCCGTGCTAGAGGTCCGATCCTATAGATTCTATGAACAATAAATACATTGGTTTGCTTAAAAGTGTTTTATTAACTTAGTATTAACTATGTATAGTGTATTTACAAGGAAAAGTATTTAGATAGTTATGTAAAATCGTTGTCTGATACTCTATTAACTTTGCATATTTTTGTAGTAAAATGTCTAAAGAAGGATATCAAACTCCGCTTTCTTTTGAAAAAAAATTGAAGCCATAATTCGGCAACAATAAGGAATATACAAATACAAAAATATCTTGTTATTTCTGGCAGTGTTAAATAACTTTAATTAATGATTGATTAGTTCACTGATATCTCTTCAATTTAAATATTGCAATAGTAACGGACGACACTTGTTTTCATTATACTGGTAGGTTATAAAAATTAAGTACATCTAGATACGCGGCAGCATGTCAAGCCAAGTTCAATTACAGTTTCAACATGCCTGATATTCAAAGTGAATTCTCATTTTATGACGTTTGTGTAAAACTTTTGCTATAATGCTTTTTCCACATGTACTGAAAATAGATCCAACGGACTTTCAGGACATTGTATGCTGTATCTCCCGCATTCTTCGGCTATTCCGTAGTACTCTGCTTCGTAGTACGAGTCTTCTATTTCTTCTTCTAGCATTGACGCTGATGGCCTGAAATTTTTAAAAACAAAAATCATAATAAGTTTTTTAACCCATTTATTTTTGCAATTAGGCTGTTAAAAACGGTTTTACAGGTTGCTGACGTTTTTAGGGCCAGTGCTGAAAATAAGCGCAAATAGCCCAGTCACTTTAATAGAGTTTTAATATTAATGTACGATGTGAAATGCTGTTTTATTCGCTTCACTTCGCAATAAAATGTATGATTTTTTTTCTCTACGTAAAATACATACAAATACAAATAATTTATTGAATTTAAAACATACATTAACATTTACACTTGTATACCTTAACTAATACATATTATTACTTTTACATGTTTTTTGCATTAGACTTATCTAGATACTGATTGCAATTTACGAATGTGGGAGAATTAGTCACAGTTTTGTGAATAAATATAATTAAAATCAAAACGATGAAGTAAAAGGCCTGAAAATTAGTGTGATCTATTGTTAAGTCCATTCAAAACGTTAAATCATTAATCAAACATACCATACATCATTCGCATGCGTTCTGGGAAATTTCACTAGTTTTTGTGGACCAAACTTACTAACCGTTGGCGGCCTAAATAATGTACCAACTTTGGTAGCTTAACACTACTTCTGTAATTTAGTACAACATTTTTACTAACTAGTTAGTTACATGCTAGAATTATATAGGTTAGGAAAATATTAGGAATTAGGCCTTTACTACATGATTAATGTTAATAATTAGCATAACAGTTGTTATAGAATGACGACCAGCTGTCAATATTGACTCACGCCCATATTCGTTAAAGTTACTATGAGGTCTCACAGTGCGCGTGGACGTAGGTACAGGGTGACACACGAACCAATCACAGAGCTCTATTCAACGCTGTGCGTTCGATTTGCTACTTCACTTAATAAGCAAGCAAGCATCGTTTGTGAATACGGGCGTGAGTTGCTAAAGTTATGCTGAAGCATTGTCCTAAAGCAGTTAATGTTTAAAAAATCGTATTGGGATTGCAACACATAATAATCTTCAGCTCATTTTATAAACTTAAGAATTTAATTATTATTACTGACGGGATTGCTACCTTAATTTTGAGTTTCCGATATTTCGGCACTGTTGCAAGCGCCATGGTCACGGAATAACTGAAGAAACTTGCGGGTGAGATGTTACTCCGTCCGTGACCAGACCATGGCGCTTGCAACAGTGCCAAAATATCGGAAACTCAAAATTAAGGTACATGGTAGCAATCATCATTTCAGCCATAGGACGTCCACTGCTGAACATAGGCCTCCCCCAATGACTTCCACATCGCACGGTTGGTAGCGGCCTGCATCCACCTTTATCAGGTAGCAATCCCGTCAGTATTAATAACTAGCTTTCCGCCCGCGGCTTCACCCGCGTGGAATTTTGTCTGTCACAGAAAAACTTTATCGCGCGCGTCCCTGTTTCAAAAACCGGGATAAAAACTATCCTATGTTCTTTCCCGGGACTCAAACTATCTCTATGCCAAATTTCATCAAAATCGGTTGCGAGGTTTAAGCGGGAAAGCGTAACAGACAGACAGACAGACAGAGTTACTTTCGCATTTATAATATTAGTTGGGATTAGTGACCATGAAAGTTTAAAACAATATAGGTACCTACTTAAGAACTTGTTAAATAAATTGTAGTATCTTACGTTAGAACAAGATGCAGTAAATCTCCAACGACGCCGTTGTGGTGGAACATTGCGCTTGCATTCTCGCAGATGCTCATCATCAGGCAGCTTCGTCCAGGGTAGCCGTACCTGGAAATTAATAATTTAACTTGACTTAAGAGCGTTTACGCGAAGCGCGGCGTTTCAAGGGGCATCATTGGAAATGATTCGCGCGCGGCGTTTTTTAATAGTTTTCAAATGTTTATAGCAAAACAATAACAATGAATTATATATCGTTTCAAAGTAAATATTTTAAAGAAGATATTATTTTATTATATTCAGCCATTTTTATGTTGAAGTAAAGAAGAATCCCATCAAAAACAATACTTGTCAAAAAAAACAAGTCTCGCAACTCAGTTGTTCTACGGTAAAAAGTTGTGAGATCCATGTAATACCAAGTCCAGGCCAGGAAATCTTTAACGTTTTACATAAATTATTGACTTGGCCATCGCACTAAATAATTTAATTTACACGTGTTTTGATGCGATGGCCAAGTCAATATATTTATGTAAAACGTTAAAGATTTCCTGGCCTGGACTTGGTATTACATGGATCTCACAACTTTTTACCGTAGAACAACTGAGTTGCGAGACTTGGTTTTTTTAAATGATTCGCGCGCGGCGTTTTTTAATAGTTTTCAAATGTTTATGGCAAAACAATAACAATGAATTAATTATAATATCGTTTCAAAGTAAATATTTAAAAGAAGATGTTATTTTATTATAGGTATTAAGCTATTTTTATGTTGAATTAAAGAAGAATAATGGTGTAAAAATCACTTTGATTTTTGGGTAAGTCACGTTCTTTGAATTTGTGATTTCTTATTGTAAAATGCTTAAATCTAAGAATTTTCTCAACTAACTATTTGCTTAAGGACCTATGCTATAGGATATAAATGTTTGTTATATCGTTTTCACAGTATTTTTATAAAAAAATCAGCTTGTAAACTGACGCTAAAGTGGAAATTTGAAAACCTGTGTATCTTGATAGAATTCTTAAATACTATACTAATCGAAATATTTTCTCAACTAACTATTTAGACGACGAAATTGCCTAATTATTTATGCCTATAATATATTTGTAATGTAACTGGTTAATTATTGTAACGGGTTGAAAAAGTACTGTTTTTGCGCCAAACAGCGTAAACGCTCTTAACATGGAAATAACAATAATTAAGTCCTCATCAGTACTTTTTGACGTTCATCATCATCATCATTTCAGCCATAGGACGTCCACAGCTGAACATAGGCATCCTCCAATGCTTTCCATGTTAATCGATTGGTGAGCGGCCTGCGTCCAGTGCTTCCCTACTACCTTTATGATGTCGTCGGTCCACCTTGTGGGTGGACGTCCCACGCTGCGTTTTCAATTAAAGTTATTTACAAGGAATAAATTATTCCTGTAAAAATGTACATTATACAGAGTCCGTGTATTATTGTCTTCAGGTTGGCTGATTATGGCTCCAAAGCGATTTTTTCCAGGACTCTAAAGTGCCTTATTCAGTAATCAAGAGATCAATTTGAATAGGTGTAATATTTCATTCGTTAGCTAAAGATTCTGGTACATATTTTTCAGACCAAAACGAAATCAGATAAAGAATAGAAATAATATCTCCTAGAATATTCGTTTGGTTTAAGTGAGTTTTTCCACTATGTTTTTTTCAGGTTTTTTCAACCTACAATTTCCGATCGTTATAAAACATTCGCTACAAAATAATAATAGTTTGTAAGCGAATCGAGGTGATATTAATCGAAAATCCAGATCCGCGGTGGCATCGCGATGAATGCTCGTGATTGCAACATTCTGGGTAGTGATGGGCGATAAAGAACATAAAAATAAAACAATCGATTAAAGGATTGCATTTAAATGTATATTGAACTCGTTCCAGAAAGATTAAAAACGAATATTCGAATGGACTCTAAATGTTTGTTTATTTATTCAGTTTATTCAGAAACTCAATAGCTACATTATATTTTGTACACATTTGTCGGTCATCTTTCATATTTTTTGTGTTGTCAAATGCGAGTCTTTGTTGAGTCTAAATTGAGAGTGAGATTTTTACTCTGTGGCACTTTGATAAAACACTATGTGTTAAAAGAATTATAGTTATATCACCATCGATACCATGTATTCGATACCATCGAATCATCGGATTAATTGAATATGCTTTTAGTAAAAATCGCATCGCTATTAATCCAGCAGGCGCGTAACCGGCAACCGATCATGCCACGTAAAGGCGACAGTTATCAAGCTAAATACTGCATCTTAATACAATCGTAATAGGCGCGATTTTGCAGTAAAAAAATATCCGATGTGGTGTACTGTATCCGAATTGAGGGTTTAATATTCGGATGTTCCAACTTGTTGTTTCGGAGAGCCTTTTCGTTGCAGCACTCGTTTCGGATTATAATCATTGGTTTTATTTTTATGCTGTATTTTAGTGTGGATTTCATCTTTCGCATCCACTCTATCTGAGCGCTCATATCATATCATGGGTGAGTTAATGGGAGGTAATTTAATACGTCCACGTTAATCTCTTAAAATAATATGGGTAACATTACACCGTGTGCTATTTTGCATTATTAAATATTCGGTAATTTTAACCGAAAGACGAACTGGACAAAGGCTCTCTCAATACCGACCCTGAGCTGCGATTCCCACAGTCTTTTCCAGTGTCAGTTAACCGAGGACTGCTTACACTACGACTTTTGGTCCGTGGTAATCACTCAATAACTTTTCAACAAGGGCTATTATCAATTTTGATTTGTCATAATCTATAACTTAGATAATAAATCTGTAGAGAGGTCAATTCTGTACATGAAATATATTTTCAAAATAACTATCAGGGGGTGATTAGTGATCGATACTGATGCCAAAAATGCAATCAGTAAATTTTTTGTCTGTCTGTCTGTCTGTCTGTATGTTCCTTATAGAAACAAAAACTGCTCCACGGATTTTAACAAAACTTGGTACAATTATTCTTCATACTCCTGGGCAGGTTATAGGATACTTAGGAATTCCCACGGGAACGGGCATTAGCGGGAAAATCCTTTTGTATGAAAAATCTAAACCGCTTAAGTTAGACGCTTGAAATTTGGCATGCAGGTACCTTAGTAAACTTAAAGCTTAGTTACAACAGGATATTGCAAAATTCCCACGGGAACGGGAGTTAGCGGGAAAAATCATTTGTATGAAAAAATCTAAACCGCGTTAAGATAGATGAAGGGGGTATAACGGGATCCACGCGTACGAAGTCGCGGGCGGCCGCTAGTATTAAATATATTAAGGCTGAGTTGCACCATCTTAACATTAATTATAAGAATATCCGGTGTTATTGTATGGAGTTTGACTTTTGACGTTTGTTAAAGTTAAGATGGTGCAACCCAGTCAAAGTGAAAATAATTCCTGTGGTAAATACACTTGAATATTTATATCGCTCAACTGAAGGATACTTATCTTAAGCATCAACACTTCTTAGGAGGTAATTAAAGTAAATTAAGCTGAGTACTTACTTCTCCAACATGGATTCTATGAAAGCGTAAAGATTCGCTCTAGTGTAGAAATTGTTTGGTATTTTGCTATCTGCTCTTGGTGATTCACTTCGGGCTTTTCTGCTTACCTAGAAAAAGGAAAAAAAACTTCATAATAATTTGATTTAGAGGCGGATTTACTAAAATGCTCTAGCGGTTGACCTCGGCCGTTGGATCATGGTTGCTTTAAAATCCTTGATTTCCTCTAAAAGATTCCTTGATTATGCTTTCCAGTTGGCGCCATTGGTGTGTCATCATCATCATCATCATTTCAGCCACAGGACGTCCACTGCTGAACATAGGCCTCCCCCAATGCTTTCCATGTTGATCGATTGGTAGCGGCCTGCGTCCAGCGCTTCCCTGCTACCTTTACGATGTCGTCGGTCCACCTTGTAGGCGGACGTCCCACGCTGCTGTCCCACTGGTGTATAATAGGACCTTACTCGACAGTGGCGCCAATCTGGTTATTTGCAGATACGATAGTCTTCCTACTGCTTCAACGCTCACCACTTGGCGTCACTAGCGATAGAACCTTACTCGACCGTGGCGCCAATCCAGTGATTGCAAATTATGCGATAGTCCTCCTATCGTTTCAGCATTCAGCAGTTGGTGCAGTGGTGATTGTGGTTATGACAGTGGTGTCCACAATCAAGTCAAGTTGGGCCTTTCTCGCTAGAGGCACCCACTGGTAACCGCAATATTAACACAGTCCTTATTGTGTAGCACAAAAAAATCAAACGCCCCGTGTACGCCCCGCTAACGCCCCATATAAATGTGTGCACACCTTTACTCGATACTTTCCGGTGCAATCAATAAGATCGAGCCAGTGTTTGCAGAACGGACGCTCGCCGAAGGCTGCAGTGATTGGCCCTCGAATCTTCTGCTTTGAAAGCAACGGCACTTAGCACTTTGATTCAGTTTCGATATTTGCTGATTTCAGCAAAACGAAAAGTTTTATGCGTGCAGTAAGAGTAGGCGCACACCGTTGATTTTTAGTTGGCCGATAGTTGTGCCCGATTTTAAATTGTATGAAGAATCGGCCAAATCGAATCGGCGTAGTGTGCGCACTCCCATACATGCTCATACTGATCAACTGCCCGACTAAACTATCGGCCGACGAAAAATCAACGGTGTGCGCCTACTCTAACGGTCTTTATCTATTTTGATTTCTAAGAACTACATAAGTGATGTTAATTTAGGGCACTTCGACATTTGCGCTGCTTCTTCTCAGCACTGGCCCATTTATTGTCCCGAGGCAGTGGTAGGTTAACTTTACCTACCAGTAGCAAGATACCTTTTCAAAACGGTCTGACTTCATACATTGATCCAAAAAACTGAAATATGCATCACCAGTGACCACCATTAAAACATACTCTAATGGTGGTCACTGGTGAAGGACTGACTGGTTAATACCGTATTGCTGTCTATCCAAATTCAGTCAAACTCAGATTAAAATCATTAACAAGGCTATTTAATAGAGTAGGTACCAACATCACCAACAGCACCAATGTCTCCGAGCAGCGGCTCCAACCACGTGCCGTTATCCACGGTGTAGTAGTTGGCTTCAAAGAACCACGCCACGCTCACCGTCGCCTCTGGATGGAGTGGGACGGACACAGTCCCGAATACCTGAAATTGATGCAAATAAATGTGAAAACATCGAATGTCAGGGTAGTTGAGATTGTTCAATTATTAAAATTCATCACTAAACAAGCGCTAATTAAAGCAGGGGTCTTTCTTTTGCCACTTTGTCGTAGTGCTTCTCGAAGCGCTTCCTCAAAAGATTAGGAGTCATATGTAAAGTGCCATTTAAGTAACACTACTTTTTTATTGTGTCTGGATTATTTTGTGCCAAAATGTTGGTCGAAACTGAATAATTTATTTCTGATTGATATTGTTTAACAATTGTTGACCAAAAAGTTGTCCTTAAACATATAGGTCTGAAAGTGTGAAAATACGTCTTTTATTATTTAAAAAATAATAATATGTATAATCAAAACACGTTAATTTCAATCTATGAGTTTCATAAAACAGTCGTGAAATAGAATATGGCGGTATAGTCCAGTCATTATAGTAAGTTCACCTCGGAATTCGAGATACCCAGCTGTAAGTCTGTAAATACGTGTATATTGACACCCTAAAAGTTGTCTCAAATAATATTTTTAGGGTAACTCGAACTACCATACTTGGCATGGTTCAAAATGTTTCTATGTACCTACTTGAAAATTACTAGTCCAGTCATTTAAGCTTAAATTAGGTAAGAATCTCGGAATTCGAGATACCCAGCTGTAAGTCTGTAAATACTTGTATATTGACACCCTAAAAGTTGTCTCAAAACCTACATATGGTAGGGTGTAAGCAACTATTAAATTTTAAGGTCAACGGTCACAAAAATCGGTTTTTTTGCGCTTTTTTTAGAAATATCCCATTTCCTATGGGTTTTTTGCTATTTGTATTTATTATCAATATTGTAGAATACTAAATTCTCTACAAATTTTGTTTAAATTTTTTTTTATACGGTGAACCGTTTTCGAGATAGAGGGTGGAGAGCGCGCGGTCACTGCATCACTTCAGGTCAACTTAAGCGGTTTAGATTTTTCATACAAAAGGATTTTCCCGCTAATTCCCGTGGGAATTTCGGGAATTTCTTGTTGTTTACTTTTACTAAGGTACCTACATGCCAAATTTCAAGCATCTAACTTCCGTTAAGCGTTTAGATTTTTCATACAAAAGGATTTTCCCGCTAATTCCTGTTCCCGTAGGATTTCCTAAGTATACTATGACCTGCCCAGGAGTATGAAAAATAATTGTACCAAGTTTCGTTAAAATCCGTCGAGTAGTTTTTGTTTCTATAAGGAACATACAGACGGACAGACAGACAGACAAAAATTTTACTGATTGCATTTTTGGCATCAGTATCGATCACTAATCACCCCCTGATAGTTATTTTGAAAATATATTTCATGTACAGAATTGACCTCTACAGATTTATTAAAGTACTAGCGGCTGCCCTCTATCTCGAAAACGGTTCACCGTATAAAAAAAAAATCTGAACAAAATTTGTAGAGAATTTTGTATTCTACAATATTGATAATAAATACAAATAGCAAAAAACCCATAGGAAATGAGATATTTCCAAAAAAAGCGATTTTTGTGACCTTTGACCTTAAAATTTAATAGTTGCTTACACGCTACCATATGTAGGTTTTGAGACAACTTTTAGGGTGTCAATATACAAGTATTTACAGACTTACAGCTGGGTATCTCGAATTCCGAGATTCTTACCTAATTTAAGCTTAAATGACTGGACTAGTAATTTTCAAGTAGGTACATAGAAACATTTTGAACCATGCCAAGTATGGTAGTTCGAGTTACCCTAAAAATATTCTAAAAAATCCCTAAATTAAGTTAGAAAAGNATAACAAATTACATTTGGATCATTGAGGCAACTTCTTGGCAATGCAGACATCATATTAAAATAAATTTCGTTATAAAAATGTACCGATAACATTACAAACTGTGCAACCAAAGTACCGATTAAAGCTAAAATTTAAAACTGAGGGTAGATCAAAAACTACACGTAGGAAAAAAAAAAGAAAAATATTTTTATTATTACTAATAAACACCTAATAATAAACTATCAACAGAATCTCGGCACCATTTTAATTTTGATTTTTTGTTGACCAGTGTTATCAATATTATTGAATTTATTGAAATGTTGCAACAATATATCATCTGGTTGCAATTTGAGATTTAAAAGTTGTTTACGCAGCGCTAATTGTGAAGCTAAGCTTCTTCGCTCGTAAAAATTGTCAAGATCCTTTAATATAGATTTCGCTGTTGCGGATCCCTTGGCGATCCCAACTACAACGAACCTTCTCATCAGTGACATTGACAGCGGGGCGCCACCGTCAATACCGGATCGCTGGTTCCGATTTTTGCCATGTTGGAAACCATATAGTTGAACAATGGCAGCGCCCCCCTGTCATTGAGTTTGGTGAACTTTGGTGGGACAGTTCAGCGTGGGTCATGTATAACAATTTGAAGTACACACCTTTGTACTTCAAATTCGCTACTTGACAGTTGTAACAATAAAATATGAAATATGTTTTATAAGGTAGCTTTTAAGTAAATAATAAATCATACAGTACGTTTTTTGCATTAAAACAAATTATTAATATTTTATTTTTGGAAAATAAATCTGAGTTTTTTTTATCTGTGGTTGACAAGGAGCGGCCATGATTGATCATCGTATGACGTCATAATTTAATAAACCAAAGTTTTATTAGTCCAGTTGTGCTGTTTAAAACATTTCAGGAAATGGAGTCAGGCTAATATTAAAGCGGATAGTGCAAACTTGCCTAGAATCGATGCGTTTATGATCGCAAATTTCTTTGCCTGTAATCCAAATTTTTGTTGTGCTGAGTTTAGGAATGCAAAAACTTCCGTGTAAGTACCTACCGAAATAAAATACATTATTTTTGTACAAGCTGTTGTATCTTTACCATAAAGGCCGGCAACGCACCTGTAACGCCCCTGGGTCTGCGGGTGTCTATGGGCGACGGTAATCACTTACCATCAGGTGATCCGTCTGCTCGTTTGCCTCCTATCACATAAAAAAATAATAATTAAGATTCCTAAGTCAATCAAATAGCTACTTTATATCAAACATTTATAGGTTATGTTTTTAATTTCAGATCTTCGCGACAGTCTTATGGCGATGACGCCATAGGATATGTCCAGCTGAAGAGGGAAGGAAATTTGTGTGTCGTAAAGGGTAAAGTTTGTCCCGAACACAGTTCGTCAACAGCCATACTCGGTGTCCATGGTCATCGACGAAAAGGAAGGAGTTGTACAAAGTGTACAGTGTGCTGACTGCCCTGCCTCCCAAGGTTGCTGTAAACATGCAGTGGCTTTCTTAATGTGGACACATAGAAGAAGTGAAGAGCCATCTTGCACTGCCATTGCATGCTACTGGAAAAAATCAAAATTGTCTAAGGTTGGCAGTACTCTAAAGTACATGACAATAAAAGAGATGGGTAACAGTGGCAGTTCTATACATAACCGGCAAGATGAAAGTGTTATGTGCGAATTTTTAAAAGAAAGTAAACTGAGGAAGTTATAAAACTGTCAAATTTTGAAACATTTGATTGATTATGAGGATGATGTAATTCAGTTGCTTTCCTTACACCAATTAAGTTGCAGATTTAATTCTGAAGATAACAGTGATCGTTTTTTAAACAAAATACATACAGTTGTTACAGAAAAGAATATTAGTGAAGCGGAAAGGCTAACATGCCAACAACATAGAAGTCCAGCATGGCACGAGCTTCGATATGCCCGAATAACAGCATCAAGAGCTTATGAGGTGTCTCGGTGTAAGACATTAGATGGCTCAATAATTGCAGCATTAATGGGTGCAAAATTGCCTGACAATGTTCCTATGAAAAAAGGCCGAAACTTAGAAAAAACAATTAAAAGAACAACATGGTGTTTCTCAGTGTGGACTGTTCATATGTCAAGAATATCCTATGTTAGCAGCATCACCTGATGGGATTTTGAATGATGATACTGTAATAGAAATAAAGTGTCCAATGAATGGAAAAACTTCAAAAAATTATATTTCTAACGACCAAGTCACTGCACTTTGCACAAGTACAACTGCAGATGCACATAACTAAATTGAAAAAGTGTTTATTTGTTGTGGCATCATGCGATTTTGAAGAAAATGGTGAAGTGGATATTGTGCCTGTAGAATACAATTCTGGATATGTTAAGTAATAACTTATTATGTGAACTGCAATCTTTTTGGAAAAAAAAATGTGTATCCATTACTATATACCTAATTGTACCAAGTGTGTAATTTTTGAAAATCATGTATTTTTTATTAAACTATCCTGTAGATTAATTAGTGCGCAGGCAATAATAACACATTCATCCAAATATTGTAACAATTTGTTATTAACTACATAATGGGGTTATTAACTACATAATAAAATTCTCTTAAACGTCTTATAATTCGCTCAATGTGAATCCTTAAACTTGCTACCTGTTTTGTTTTAATTACATCACTTTTTGATAATTTGGAATTAGAAGAAACACTTGGAGGTCTTATTAAATTAATTCCTTTTTGCAGTAAAAGTTCTTCAATATGTTTAAATCCCCTATCTGCAAGTATAGACACATCTGGTTCTAAACAATCTAAAAAGTTGCAGTTCTGTACTAACAAGGCATCAGTAGTTCTGCCACTGAACCTAGGTGAAACATAATTGATAATACCATCAGGAGTACTACTGATTAAGTATTTGGCAGTGTTTGCTTTCTTGTATTCTGACCATGTTAAATTTTACTGACATAAGACAAAGACATGCCAAATTGATCTATCTCCAAGTTCAGAAAATGGTGTATTTAACCTTATTTTTTTTAAACACAATGATATGTGTTCTTCACGAAGCTTAGTATGTTTTTTTTATAATATCAATTAAAAAATAACAGTCCTTAGAAATACCTAGGTAATATCTTGGATTATTCTTAATTAATTGTGTAGTATTTTCAATAGACATTCGCTGCCGATTTTCTGCTTCAATTTTCCTTCTTATTTCAGACTAGCTTTCCGCCCGCGGCTTCGCCCGCGTGGAATTTTTTCTGTCACAGAAAAACTTTATCGCGCGCGTCCCTGTTTCAAAAACCGGGATAAAAACTATCCTATGTTCTTTCCCGGGACTCAAACTATCTCTATGCCAAATTTCATCAAAATCGGTTGCGAGGTTTAAGCGGGAAAGCGTAACAGACAGACAGACAGACAGAGTTACTTTCGCATTTATAATATTAGTTGGGATAATTCAGCTTGAATTTCTTGGTTACTGCTAGTTGATGTCATTGTTAGTAGGGACTGAACAGATGGCGATGTGTCAGTTGTTAACTGTGAAGGTTTTGATGGTGTTGAACTGGTCGAAGATGACTCTTCTAACTTTTCACGGAATAGTAATTTCCTCCTGGATTTCATATAACCTTCTGATCCAACTCGAGACTTAATTTTAATAGGTGATGTTGCTATAGTCTTAGTATGAGTTGTTAAAGGAGAAGTATTTTTATCTTTAGCTTGACTAGAAATTTGTACAGCTTTGCTTCTAACCTTTGCAGACAAACATAGTTGTGTTAATTTATCAGCTGTTTCAGGGCATACTTGTATCATCTGACCTTGAAAATTATGTCTCTCATCCAGCCCGGAAGTAGTAGATAAGGAATCTAAAAAAAAACAATAAACAAGTATTATTTACAACATAGTCAAGTATGTAAATGTGCATGACAAAGATACTGTACTACTCTAGAAACTAGGTTCTAAAGAAAACTTTAAAAGTAAACCTATTTTGAAATCATTGAACTAATTGATAACTTTACTCACCGCTATTGCTCGTCATGGTCATGCCTGATGTTGATGGCAATCCCTTAGAATACCGTTGCCACTGTCAATACCGTTTTTGCCATGTTGGAAACTATACAGTTGAACGATTGTAGCGCCCCCTGCCAATGAGTTTGGCGGGACAGTTCAGTTTAGGTCATCTCTAAAGCCGGGTTGACACGTTACGAGACAGCTCGGACCGAGTCACGTCCGAGTACACTCGTACGAGTCAGCGTCATACGAGTGTACTCCTATAGTGGTTTACACGTTCATAGTGTACTCTTATCAAAGCTCATTCAATTTTGCACCAATTTTGTGTCAACTCTCGGAAAACACTGATCTGCTCAACATGGAACAGACTGATCTGCTGTTGCAAGGTATCACAGTTGTTGCAGATATACTAATAAAAGAATTGAACAATATAAGCAAAGAAACAAGCAATGTAAGAAGGAAGAAGGAACGAAAGAATAGATCAATTTGGACCCGCGAATGGATATTAAGGCGTGAAAAGCAGGGAGCATCAGATAATTTTCTCCGAGAAGTACGCTTGGAAGACAAGGCCACTTACAAGAATCATTTGAGGCTGAACGGTCAACAATTTGACTATCTGTTAGAAAAAGTAACGTCGAAAATACAGAGAGCCGATACAGTAATGAGAGCTGCTGTACCTGCAAAAATAAAGCAACAAATAACTTTGCGTTACTTAGCTACTGGAGATAGTTTTCAAAGTTTAGNGAAAGGCTAACATGCCAACAACATAGAAGTCCAGCATGGCACGAGCTTCGATATGCCCGAATAACAGCATCAAGAGCTTATGAGGTGTCTCGGTGTAAGACATTAGATGGCTCATTAATTGCAGCATTAATGGGTGCAAAATTGCCTGACACTGTTGCTATGAAAAGAGGCCGAAACTTAGAAGATCTTGTAAAAAAACAATTAAAAGAACAACTTGGTGAAATTTCTCAGTGTGGACTGTTTATATGTCAAGAATATCCTATGTTAGCAACATCACCTGATGGGATTTTGAATGATGATACTGTAATAGAAATAAAGTGTCCAATGAATGAAAAAACTTCAAAAAATTATATTTCTAACGACCAAGTCACTGCTAAGTACTTTGCACAAGTACAACTGCAGATGCACATAACTAAATTGAAAAAGTGTTTATTTGTTGTGGCATCATGCGATTTTGAAGAAAATGGTGAAGTGGATATTGTGCCTGTAGAATACAGTTCTGAATATGTTAATAATTTATTATGTGAACTGCAATCTTTTTGGAAAAAAATGTGTATCCATTACTATATAATAGTACCAAATAAAAGAGTGTAATTTTTGAAAATCATGTATTTTTTATTAAACTATCCTGTAGATTAATTAGTGCACAGGCTATAATAACACATTCATCCAAATATTGTAACAATTTGTTATTAACTACAGAATGGGGTTTTAACATAAAAAAATCGCTTAAACGTCTTATAATTCGCTCAATGTGAATCCTTAAACTTGCTACCTGTTTTGTTTTAATTACATCACTTTTTGATAATTTGGAATTAGAAGAAACACTTGGAGGTCTTATTAAATTAATACCTTTTTGCAGTAAAAGTTCTTCAATATGTTTAAATCCCCTATCTGCAAGTATAGACACACCTGGTTCTAAACAATCTAAAAAGTTGCAGTTCTGTACTAACAAGGCATCAGTAGTTCTGCCACTGAACCCAGGTGAAATATAATTGATAATACCATCAGGAGTACTACTGATTAAGTATTTGGCAGTGTTTGCTTTCTTGTATTCTGACCATGTTAAGGCCTGCTCTACAGATTTTGATGGTTTTTGAATTTCTATTTCTAGACAGTCAATAATACAATAGACATTATGGTATTTATGTCTAAATGCCATGGGTAAGTTTCGTTTCACAGATCTTTTACTTGATTTAATTATAAATGGATGTAAAACATTTGCAATAAGAGCTACAGATTTCATAAAAATTTTACTGACATAAGACAAAGACATGCCAAATTGATCTCCAAGTTCAGAAAATGGTGTATTTAACCTTATTTTTTTTAAACACAATAATATGTGTTCTTCACGAAGCTTAGTATGTTTTTTATAATATCAATTAAAAAATAACAGTCCTTAGAAATACCTAGGTAATATCTTGGATTATTCTTAATTAATTGTGTAGTATTTTCAATAGACATTCGCTGCCGATTTTCTACTTCAATTTTCCTTCTTATTTCAGATAATTCGGCTTGAATTTCTTGGTTACTGCTAGTTGATGTCATTGTTAGTAGGGACTGAACAGATGGCGATGTGTCAGTTGTTAACTGTGAAGGTTTTGATGGTGTTGAACTGGTCGAAGATGACTCTTCTAACTTTTCACGGAATAGTAATTTCCTCCTGGATTTCATATAACCTTCTGATCCAATTCGAGACTTAATTTTAATAGGTGATGTTGCTATAGTCTTAGTATGAGTTGTTAAAGGAGAAGTATTTTTATCTTTAGCTTGACTAGAAGTTTGTACAGCTTTGCTTCTAACCTTTGCAGACAAACATAGTTGTGTTAATTTATCAGCTGTTTCAGGGCATACTTGTATCATCTGATCTTGACAATTATGTCTCTCATCCAGCCCGGAAGTAGTAGATAAGAAATCTAAAAAAAAACAATAAACAAGTATTATTTATAACATAGTCAAGTATGTAAATGTGCATGACAAAGATACTGTACTACTCTAGAAACTAGGTTCTAAAGAAAACTTTAAAAGTACTAATTGATAACTTTACTCACCGCTATTGCTTGTCATGGTCATGCCTGATGTTGATGGCAATTCCTTAGAAAATATTTCTTCTAATATGTTCATACGTCGTCTTTTGCTTACAACTGATCGAGGTTGTGTTGGCCCTGTTCGTTTTATTCTGTCCGGTTGACAATGAAATTTCGATGGCAAACAGTCAGGTTTCATTTTAATTTTACCAATAGAACCCATTATACTATATTGGATGTAATTTTCCATATCATTAGGTAGCTACAAAGAAAAACAAAGTGTCATTAGGTAGAAGCATAAAGTTAATAGGTAGAAGTTAAGTTTATTCTATAAAATCTAACAAGTTAGGTTAGGTTTAGGTAATTTATTTTTGCGAAATCAAACATATTGATTTTGTCTTTAAAGGTAGTTTACTTACATCAAAGTGATCCTCACAAAAGAATATCACAGACCTATCAGACGAAAACTGTGGGTCTCGGCGTGCCAATTGTAACCATTGCTTACGACGTTTTGGGCATTTAGGAACGTGTATAAATAATTTGTTGGGACATTTAATTGTCGTACTTCGACACATAGGCACCGCACACGTTTTGTAGCTTGTCATTTTCACAATTTCAGCTAAATCTTTACACTTAACACTCAGAACAGATAGTGCCGTATAGCCTCGTTTTGCTTGTTTTGTGAAATGTGACGTCATAGCAAAGAAATGTCACGTGACACAGTGTTTTGGCTCGAATTTCAAACCAAAAGATAAAAATTTCATATTTTCTCTATAAAATAAAGTTATTTTTGAAAAAAAGTTAATTGTAGGGGGTTTAAAATAAGACTACAAAAATTATAAAATATATTTCAGAAAATTGGCAAGTAGCCAATTCTCAATTTAAACTTCATAGAAAGGGAAGAAAGACTCATTCATTATTATGAGTTTGTGGCAGCGTTATCGATTCGTAAAATAATATCGCATTATTTTTTGGTATTATTAAAAAATCGTCCATTTGCGACGACAACGTGACATCTTCTGTGTTAATCTAATTGAAGATGTCACACTGTCGTCGCAAATGGACGAAATGTCCTTAATCTAAACTAAAGGTTACAAGTAGTGGTAGTACTGGTAGGTACCTACATAATACATAGTTTATTTTATGTGGTTGATTCGTTCTTTGACTGACCAAAGTCCACTAGTCCGGTTGTTATTACAAGCGGCCCGATTTCTATTTTGATGCGTCAATAATTTTCTATTACATTGATTACAATGTAATTATTATTGTGTTATATTTATAAAGACATAGTTATTATCGCTTTAACGCATAATTAGATACTTTGCTTGTCTAAAAGATTTAGCAAGATAAGAAATGATTCAATGTATTTCATGATGTCGCATCTCTTCTTATGAGAATTCTAACGTTATACATAAATAATTTATACGAACCAATTGTAAAACAGTACATGAAGTTAAAACTGACCTTTTTTTTTTTTTAGTAAATAAATAATAATAATGATGATGAAGCCTTACTTTGTAAGACTATCAATAGTATTATTAGCATTAATCATACATTGATTAGTAGGTACAAACCTACATAATAATGTTTTTCCAATACAAGAAAAAATGACATCATCTTATGTACCGATACCGATACAGTTTAAGGAAGCTCTTAGATTTTATCTATTATTTATAGATACAAGCTGGTGAGACGTCATGAATAAAAAAATAAACTTTGTAAAAATATCAGGGCTAAAGCAAGGCCGCAAAGAGACAAACAAAAATGTTGCCTGTTTTGAATCAAACTTACACTAAAATACCCAAACAACTAGTAAGAGATAATGCTAATCTTATTATATTGTTCAAGCAAGATGATGTAAATCTAAGACACGTTTACGATGAACATGTTGGGTCTGATATGTCATGGATGCAGTTTCGTGAAATGTGTTCAACTGTGTGGAGTAAACCTTATAGTTATGTGGTCATCAATAAGGATTGTGAACGAAACAAAGGCTGTTATCGCATGAAGTTTGATACATTCATAGTAATGGACTAAACTTTTTATATAGCTGTAACGTTACCAACCATTCAGTTTCATTAGAGAAGTCAAACAGAGCGGAATTCTTAACAATGGAACGAAACCTCAAGGAACAAATAGTAAAATCTGCTGCAGCTGTAAAAAGAAAGGTAAAAATGATAAAGGATGTACAAAATTCAAATGACATGACTCTAAATGCGATATTTAAACCTATCGTTAACCCACTAAAACTGTTAACAAATCAAACTGGTGATAAACGTCCTATAAATGAAGGATCAGAGCATTATCCAATAGCTGAAGCTAAAAGAACTAAACACAGCGAAACCGAAGCATCAAATACGTCTACTGAAGATTATGAAGAACCTGATGACGATGAATATAACATCGATAAAGACAATTACAAATCATCTGACAAAACCTTGACTACATCACCCTCAGTGGATCACGATGTTCATGAAAACTCATTTAAATCACTTCAATCATCACCAAGTATCAATAACGATTCTTTATCCTGGTCGGTGTCATCTGAAGTGATGAAAGATGTGCCTTATGGTATTAGAAATGTAAAGGGAAAATTGATGCTTGGCAATACGCGTGTTTATGATGATGACCGCATTTTAAAAATTGGAAATCGTAACCTTAAAAAAACTCAAGGCTTACAAGAATTATTGTACGAAAAGACACCAAATTTAAAAAATATTACAAATGAGGACTTACAAAATTACAAATTAGTACTTATGGATACCAATGCACACAAACGTAACTACGATCCATCTAAACCTATAAACAGTAACAAAGGATTTAAATATATGAACATGATCAAACCTTTGTTTAAGTTCTCAAGAAGTCATACAAGTAGTGTAGAAAGTCTCACACAAGGTGAAGGAATTGATATATTAAAAGAAGTTAAGCAGAATACTGATGTGGTTTATTGGGATGATCCGAATGAATTAGTGGAAAGGTTAAAATTACTGCTTGGATCATGGGCAGCTGGTAACACTGGAGTATATAATGAACTTTATGCAATAATTAATAGAGGAAATACATGAAGCTGGTATTATAAAAGATATTTAATGATTAAACGAACTTAAAAAGTGAAGTTCTATCATAATTATGCGAGGGCTTTGTCCGAAGAGATTAGAAATAAGAACTATGTAGTATCACGTACGGTGATGCCAGTTTACGCACTGTTAGTTGAGGATATATATATATATATATTTTTTTTTTGTGGGTATCTCAGTTTACATCCCATTTGACATTGGTATCCGTCGTCAGTTAGTTTGGAGTAGTAATTTGTATTTTTTATCATTTCACTAATATGGGGGTTTGTGTTTTTAATAATATACCTACATATATGATTGTTAAAGACGGGTGGGAGGGTTTCTAATCTCTTCGGACAAAGCCCTCGCATAATTATGATAGAACTTCACTTTTTAAGTTCGTTTAATCATTAATTATGCTCGTGCTTTGTCCTCGAGATTAGAAATAAGAACAATGTAGATTTTGAGAGGACTGATGTGAAATGATAATAAAAACAAAGCTGTTTATTACTTTGCAAAAATAATAAATCATTGGTAAGAATACAATGCTTGTTTTATAATTACTATTAAGTGTGACATAACTGTCATAGTTACCCGAGTGAATACTTTCGTATAATTGATAATTAAGGGTAAGTAATTAAAGGCAAGTATAATTAGCTGTTATATTAGCCATAATGTAAGTGGGAAAGTTAATTATTGTTTCCCAAATCAATTGTCAGTACACGATATTGCTTACTTGAATAAAGACTCTGGTACTCGACAAAAGGCTGACTTAGAATTGTTAAATATGGCTAAGAAAAGGCTAAAATCAAAAGATGTTGGAAAAGGAGAAAAAATTGCTTCATGGATAGTTAAAAATGCGATGAAAGCCAAAATCAGAGCCGGTCGAGGCACAACATCATTTAAGAAAGGGATTAAGAAAATAAAATTAGGATTAAAAAAACTTAAAACTAAAGATAATCACTCTGCTATAAAATACGCAGCTGCAGCTGCAAAAAAACTTTTCAGCAACAAAAAAGGAATACGATTACCTCGATGTATTCCTCTTCCAAAATGTGGAGGACTTTTACCACTTATTCCTATATTTGCGGGGTTATCGGCTTTAGGTTCCCTTGCGGGAGGTGCAGCTGGTATAGCAAAAGCTGTTAATGATTCTAAAGCCGCACAAAAGAGTCTAATGGAATCAGAAAGGCACAACAGAATGATGGAAGCGGTAGCCCTTGGAAAAGGACTGTATATAAAACCTCATAAAAAAGGAGCTGGTTTATATCTCAATCCGACAAAAAACTAATTAAGCGGCTACCTAGACGTGCGCTCACTAACCTGGATATATTAGAGCATGCTAGTGATATTCCATTCTTTCGTGGTGTATTCATGAGAGATACATTACCTGCGAAGCCTAAGAAGATAGAATGTGCAATCATGAATTTGGATAGTAACAAAAATCCTGGTACACATTGGGTAGCCTTTGTAAAGCAATATGATTACGTTGAATATTATGACAGTTTTGGTAATTTAAAACCACCATTAGAATTAGTCAAATATTTTCGTAACTTACCTATAAACTATAATTATGTACGACATCAGGCCTTTGGAACGTTGAACTGGTATTGGAACTGGATTCGCGCGCGCGCTCTCTCCAGCGCATGACTTGTATTCGATCCGCTGCGAAAATTATTTCGAACTGCGTGGTTAAAATACCATTTCGTACATGAGTTTTATACATATAGAAAGCTCGTCCAGTGGGCCATAGTGTGGTGGAAACAGTTTTTCGATAAACATACGCGTTAGTGATTTATGAGCAAAAACATTTCAAATAAATTACTAACGGCTACAACAACATCGGATCCTGCTCGCTGCCGCGCTGTGCGGTGCGCGTGAGTCACAGCGTTACACCGAGCCGAGCCGAACTGCTCCCGGCGGTCTACGACGCGGCACGAAGTACAGGGTGTCATTGACCTCTGTAGCGCTACTACGAGACTCGCTACGCGTGCGTCACGAGCTACGGCGCGCGGGTGGGGCGTGTTTAAGCTCTGCTACAACAAACTAATGCTACGACTGCTTCGAGTGGACTAGTGAGACTATTCAATTTTCTTGACTTATCTATTGTTTTAACACTACAACAACAAACATGTCTTGCGCCGGTTGCCGTAGTCCAATTGCACGTGATGA